CATGCTGTTGTTTAGCTGATGAGCTGATTGGCTGTTGAAACAGGTAACATGTCTTACATACTACAACCAGCCACTTGACAATGCCATCAGCCAACTTGAGTCGAGCTGAGACAACGGTTCACACCCCTGCATCTTGCTATCTCAACGATTATGGCCTTTTTACAAGCGTTTTTCATGGGGTCTGCTAAAGCCAAGTGTGCCGAATAGTAGCAGTCAGACGAGGTTGTACACTTGATGTTCCTCCAACTGCCTGTGGTGCCTCCGCTCCACTGCCTCACTTCGGTGGCAAGCTAACATTAGCAAGTGAGTCCGCAGATTTGTTGTCATTGTAGACAGAAGCTTCTAAGATGCTTCGGTGTATCTTTGTCATACTAATTTTAGGACTAAGTAGATCTACACTGCAAAACAAGAGCAATGCTGGTACTTTATTTCCATGCCTTCCACATGGATCATTAACCAGTGAGCTTGTTGGCTTCTCGAATGTTATGTTGTCATTTTGGTATTTCTTTCATTTTTGGTATAATTCGTACATATTAACATTTTCTTTTAGTCAGCATTTTTTCAAGTTTTTTTTTTATTTCCTGTGTTTGTTAAACACTAAAAGTACATAAGTATAAAATGTAATTATTAAATCTTCCTCCCAGGAAGAATTTGAAGAATGCAAGCATGATATGATATTAGCATACTTTGGAAGAAATCAGTGTGAAGTGTTTAACAGAGAATGTGTCTTAGGTAACAGTGGACACATAAAGTGAAGCACACTGCATTGTTTTCCTCCCCTGCTTGGATCCTCATCACTCTTGCAGCATATTTTTGCAGAGACAGGTGTTTTGCTGTTGCTAGGAAACATGTACTCAGGTTTTAACCACTGTGCTGCTGTGGGAGACACATGATAACAATCAACAGCAGCTACGTTCAGGCGATCAAAAACAGTAATAAGGTCTAAAGCGTGACTGATCCTCGCTAGTATTCCTCCAAACTGTCTATGAGAACAATATTTCCGACTGGTCAGCAACTAGAAACTTTTTTAGTTTCCATTGAACAGCAGCCACAGTGCCATCTTATATTCAGCTGATATTTCCAACATCCTCTAATATTTACTGTATCACTCACTCTGTTGTGGGGTTTGAGTCTGTGCTTCATATGGTAATGTCCCATGTTATTCCTCAGTTATCATCTTAAAGCTGTATTATGTAAGAACTGAGACTACACTCCACCTGTTGAAATTCATACTCCAAAACAGTAAGGGAGAGGTCGTTGAGTTAAAGTTTGAATGAAGTGTTTCAGTGAAAGGGTGAAACTTGAATTTAGAAGGTGTATGCTTGTATTTTTCTTTTCGATAAGGAAAACTGCATAAAAATATTTCTTTGTAACATCACATAATGTAACATAGGAAATAGCTTGCTTGTTAGTATGCTAACTTTGTTTAATATCTTGGCAACAGATTACATGTATGTCTTTGACATAACATCAAAACTGTTATTTCCGCACACTTGATAATTCAGGTCATTTTTTTATATTTTAAACTCAATATTAAATTCTTATACATTGCACCTTTAAGTAAGCCATATGGCTTGTTTGATAAGGCAGCAGCCTTCTGTGCCTACATGCTTTGTGAGTGACATTTTTTTTTTCAAGCCCTCACCTGTTAATTGTTATGAGTGTACTTCAGAAAAGGTCAAACACTGTTTTGCTAAGTGGTGAGTGTGTGTGTGCATGAGTGCATTTGTGCATGCACACTGTATATCCTTGCATATTCGTGAGAGAGCCTGTCTGGCAAACAGCAAAGTCAGTACATCAGAGTGTTGTATATCTTCATTCTTTTATTATTTCTTTTTAGAATGAAATAAAATAACATTGTTAGAGAAATGTGTGATATACAGTTAAACATGGCTGATCTCAATCATCAGTTAAAATAAGCAAAATATTTCTTTAATTCAAATACAATAAGAAATAAGCAGAGACACATTCAGGTTACAATATTCATGTACAGGTCTGTACAGAAGAGTACAGAAAACAGATTTCTAACTGCATTTGCAGTTTGAATGGTTTGCAACATAAAAGGGCTATACAGTGTTTTTTCATGTATTTCATTCAGTATGGCTGTCTGGTGGATCTGTGGGCTGGGGAGGCTGATGTTTGGTTGATTTAAGTTCTAAAGGAGTGGCTAAAGCCTAAACAGATTTAACAACTACACAGATACTGTACAAGAACACAGAGCCACATCAACCAATACAAAGCATAGCTAGTATTAAGTACACAAAGTTAAAAATTACCAGTCATGGTATAATACATAAAAAACAATACATAGCGGCTGAGCTGTTTTTGAAAATTTACTGCTGTTTTATCATCAGGAAGTGTCAAGTATTTTTACTGTACAACATTAAAACTGGGGCACTTTGCGAGGTTCAATGGACAAAAGCTAACTATCAAGGTAGGAAATACCCTTCACACCACTGTAGAATTTTTTTTAATATTAGCCATAATAATAATAAAAATAATATTAGCTTTAGGAATGAGACCTAAAACTCGGAAATGAGTTAGCATTTTTGCACTTCCAGTTCCCTCGCTTCCAAGTCAATGGGTTCTTTGAATGGGTTTTTCCTGAAATAAGGTCTTTGGTTAACACAAGCTTAACAGATTTTCACGTTTTATTTTACAACATAAAACTCATCAGTGAATGAATGTCTTAAAAAAGGTGGTTGCTAACAAGTGGCTTAAAGAGACTACAGAGGTTGTCATGACAGTGTGCCAAACACGAAGACTTATCTACTCACTAATGCAAACTATTCTAACTCAAACTTTACAACTTGTATTTCATTTCAGTTTTTACTTACAAGTTGGAAGTGGTCATGTGACCGTCATGTAGTTTATTGCCTAATGTTAGCTTTTTACTTCTAGAATCACAACGGTGTTCCATCTGTGAAAAAACTAAAAATGTATCATAAACCATTGTTTGCCAAAGTTGTTTTCTGCAATAATCCAAAATCCATCCCATTGACTTTTGTCGAAGGAACCAGGGCGATGCTCACTTCCAGGTTTGGCGGACAAGAACATCTCTGTAGCACTATGGATGGCAATGTTGGTCAGGAGCCCTGGTGATTTTGGTGATCTCCT